AACCACCCCAAACTCTGCTCTGCACTTCCTTTCTACCTAACTAAAACAAAAGAAAAGTTCCCTGAACTAGAATTTTTCCTTTTTTTTTTAAACTGTTCAAATCGACTCTAAACTAAAAACCCAAAAACCACCACAGCCTAAAACACTGCATTCCAAAACCAAAAAAAAATTTAAATAAACTAAGCAAACCAAACTACAATCCACCAAAAAAATCTAAATTTAATTTAGAGTTTATTTATTTATTAATAAATATTTATTTTAAATATATATTTATTTATATATAAATAAATATAGAAAATAAAAATAAATTTATTTATATATCTATAATAAACATTTATTTATTTTAATGATTAAATTTAATTTAATTTATAGTTTATTTTTAATTTATCTAATTTTAATTTAAATCTAATTTTAATTTAAACCTCATTTTAATTTAAACCTCATTTTAATTTAAATCTCATTTTAATTTAAATCTCATTTTAATTTAAATCTCATTTTAATTTAAATCTCTTAAATTTTAATTTAAATCTCTTAAATTTTAATTTAAGTCTAATTTTAATTTAATTTCTCCTGAAAACAACAAAAAGCTTCATTAACACTATTCGTTTTTCATACCTATAAACACATTGTTAAATAAATTTTTCCCACTTTTCTCTAAAAAAAAAAATTAAAAAATCTTTTTCCCAAATAAAAATAAAAGCCACTTTCTAAAAAATCTCTTTTAAAAAAGTTTTCTCCCAAAATCTGCCCTCCCCATGCCAGCAGTTTGCTCACACTCTATGGCAGCGTTGGGCTCCATGCCTTCAACCTCAATCAGGTACCTGAAAGAGCAGCAGAACATCTCTAATTAAACAATTAATTATGAAAACACTGATGGGCTGGTGGTGATTCAAACAGATAAAAAAGGACTGGGGAGTTTTAAACTTTTTATTTCTGGAGAATCAGGATTTAATGCTGGATTTTGGGATGGAAAAAATGCCCCCCCTGTGAATCCTTGAAAGTTTGGGGTCACAGAAATTATTCCAGTTTGGATTCCTGCTGAAGTGGCACCAGTGAGCCCAGCTGGGCAAGGAGAACTCACCTGGAATTGCCATGAGGAAAACTGACCTGGAAATGCCAACCTGGGCAAGGAGAACTCACCTGGAAATGCCAACCTGGGCAAGGAGAACTGACCTGGAAATGCCAAC